GCCGACTTTCTGGACACATGGAAAGTTCTTTTCCTTGCATATAACATGTACTCCAGCTTCCCCAGCTCGTTTGGGGGCAGGGAAATTGTGAGTTATATATGATAAAATATAGTATTTCCTTCTTCTTTTGCTGCATAGAAGACTTTTACATTGAAAACCCACAAAAGATTACAGATTTACTGGGAAAACAATAGAACTCATAGACAAAAGTGCTATTAAATTCACAAATTAAAACAGAATACCCATAATTTTTCCTGTGTGTGTTTTTTTTTTTTTAAAGAAACAATAATTTTAAGAGTAATATTAAATGTTGGGAGAAACCATACAATGAATTCGTATTGCTAACTGTTGCCTAGAAATAGAGTATTATACACATTATGATAATGGTTCAAAGATATGGAAATACCTGGCAAATACACTTAGCACTTTACATTTCCCAAAGTGCTCTGCTAAAAAGCCAGGTAGTTATGTGCGTACATTTAGCAGACAGAGAAACAAAGGTGAAGAAATTTAGTATCTTAAAGCCACCAAACAAGTCAAAGGCAAAGTAGTTCTGGGCTCCCCAGCCCAAGCACAGACCATTAGATAGCTTTTGTTTTCACAGTTCTGGATCATCAACAGAAAATAGTTACCATACAGAACCCCAAAATTAAACCAGTGACTGCTGCAGTGGCCATTTGTTTTCATAGTTTCATAGATTTAGGGTCGGAAGGGACCTAGTAGATCTTCTAGCTCGACCCCCCGCCAGGGCGGGAGAACAACAAAACCCCAAAACAAGAAACGGGACTCAAATGAGTCCAGCCAAGTAGGCATCCAGCCTCTTCTTAAAGACCCCCAGGGTAGGGGCCAGCACCACTTCCCTTGGAAGTTGGTTCCAGCTCCTAGCCGCCCTAACTGTGAAGTAGTTTTTGCGGATGTCCAATCTATACCTCCTCTCCATCAACTTGTGCCCATTACTCCTTGTTATGCCAGCGGGCGCTAGGGGAAACAGCGTCTCCCCCAAACCCTTCTGGTCCCCCCTAGTGAGTTTATAGACGGTCACCAGGTCCCCCCTCAGCCTTCTCTTGTGGAGGCTGAATAGGTTCAGGTCCCGCAGTCTCTCACTGTAGGGTCTGCCCTGTTGTCCCCGGATCATGCGGGTGGCCCTCCTCTGGACCCTCTCCATGTTGTCCACATCCCTCTTGAAATGGGGCGCACAGAACTGGACACAATACTCCAGCTGTGGCCTGACCAGCGTCGCGTAGAGGGGGAGGATCACCTCCTTGGCTCTACTCGAGATGCACCTGTGGATGCACGACAAGGTCCGGTTAGCCCTGCCAACCATGACCTCGCATTGTCGGCCCATGTTCATCTTGGAGTCAATAATGACTCCAAGATCTCTTTCTGCCTCCGTGCTCTCGAGTAGGGAGTTCCCCATTGTGTAAGTGTGCTGCTGGTTCCTACTGCCCAAGTGCAGCACCCTGCACTTGTCCGTATTAAAACGCATCCTGTTCCTGTTAGCCCACCCCTGTAACCTATCCAGATCCCTCTGCAATCTCTCCCTCCCTGCTAGCGTGCTCACCTCCCCCCAAATTTTGGTGTCATCAGCGAATTTAAACAGGTTACTTTCCACCCCATCATCCAGATCGCTGATGAAGAAATTGAACAGCGCAGGCCCCAGGACCGAGCCCTGGGGGACTCCGCTACCCACCTCCCCCCAGGTCGAGTATGACCCATCCACCACCACCCTCTGAGTGCGACCCCTCAGCCAATCTGCAATCCATCTGACTGTGTAGGCATCTATGCCACAGTCGCCTAGTTTTTTAACTAGGATGGGATTTTATCTTCTAATAACAACTGGCAGTCAACAGGAAATACTACTACCTGGCATTATAACCTTGCCTTTTTTGAGAGAGAGAGAGAGAGAGAGAGAGAGAGAGAGAGAGAG